AAGGGTTGTTTTACCCACGAACACTTACTGGCAGTGAAACCAAGATCTGGAACTTGCGTTTGGGTACACTTCGAAGACTGTTGCTTGATGAAGGTTGCTATCCCCGACCGAATGATTGTCTTGGTTTTTAATGCCATAGCATTATTAAGCTACTCATCTCAGATTTCTCTATCTGGCCTCTAATGTAGTAGGCAGGGGAGGGGGGTCCCTGGTCTCCTAACCTCCTTCAATCCAGGTTCCCCGCTAGATTTAGCGCAAATATTGACATCACATCACCTATGCACCCATTCAGTTTCCCTGCTAAATTTAGTGGAAAAATTGACGTCACATGACCTATGCATCAGCTCGGTTATCTTGAAGTCGTTGTAGACGTCATTCTTAATGTCGTCCTCTAGGATGTCTCGACGTCGTCCATGGCCTCGTAACAAAAGGAGGAAGTAAACATGATGACTGCTATCGAAGTTCGTAGACAACCAACAATAGTGGTTTCTGCATAATTTTTTTCTTTCTTGCTTGCCAAGCCTATCAAAACCAACACATCACTCGAAATATTCTTTTACAAACTTTCAGTTGAACTAATGAAGGAGTTTAGAAATGATTAAAAATCAATTTGTCAGTTATCAACAGGCTTTCACATCTTTCACACGTTTACAGCCATCCTAAACTGTCTCACCTGCAGTTTCTATGTCAGTCACTGCTTATCCTCACAAAACTCGGGGTGTCTTCCCTTCCCCTGCAATTTCGGTCGTCCCCGCATGCACAGTCTGCTGACGAGGACCCCAGTATTCTTGTCTCTAAACAGCTTCGAAGTCTCGAGCCGTTTCGGTTCGGCTTCCCTGCCAGCTCATTGCCTGCCGTCGAAAAACTACGATTCTCGAGGACAGCAGGGTTGATGCTGCATTGTTTTTCTGTTCCAATAAACGGCTGCGATCACACCCTTGACTGACATTTTTGTCTGCACGCACCGGCTAGTGCCGAGTCACGTGCCATAAGGTGCATAGCTGGTTGGTCTAGCCAATCTTTTAGAGCACTGTCAGGGTGAGCAGGGTCAAGGTCCCATCAATGGCCTTGGTGCGTTTGCAAGGCCGACGCGCATGCCACTCTTGTACGCATTACTGAAAAAGAGTAACTGATTACAGTAATCAATTACTGCATCACTAAAGTAATCGAAAAATTGCCAGAAAGTAATTGATTACTTTTCAGGTTACTTTTTTAAAACTTTTTATTGCGAAATCAAAAAGTTTAAATGTTCAAGTTGGTTACAATGGAACATGTGATTAGGAACTACCGAAGCCTAGTGAAGATTTTTCATTTTATAACTCTAGAGAGAGCATGTGACCTTCTTCACGGGCGTGTTCGGAACAAAATAAGCTATTGGTAATAGAATCTGTCACCTCCTTCAGTAATAGAGATAGACATAGAAAGAGAGAGAGAGAAGGATAAATAAACAGCCACATGCTGGACTGGTAAAAACCCAGATATAGGGATGAACAAAAATTCTAGATAAGATAACCTTCTGTTTTTAGTACATTCTATGCAAGCACGCTCTGGTGAACTCTTCCGAGATAAAATGGGGGGAGGGGGGGGGGTTTGAGGGCCAAAGACCGAGGCAGAAGGTTTTTTTGTTTTATTTTTGGTCGTGGCTAGATGAGGTCAGTGCAGAACACATTTGTCTATGCCGCAGCAAACCAGGATGTAAAAACAACCTGTACACAGGAAACAAGGTACTCGACAGCTCGGCAGTCAAAACGTCACTGAGCGCGTTGACATTTTATTCCTAAGTAGACAGAGTAATTTTTTTTTGTAAAAAATATCATCTGAATAATTTTAGCTCTTTCAGAAACATATAATTGTTTACTTGTAATTGATTACAGAAGAATAGTAATTAATCTACAGCAAACGTTACCACAGAAAGAAAGTAATTGAAGCATTAAAAATATTTAATATATTTAATTGATTACGACTAATCAGTTACTTGCAACTTGTTACATACAAGTTTGGTGCATACACAGTAGCATCAGCGAACAAGCAGCGAACATTAGCATCAGCGAACTTCCCCAAGTTCTTATGGTTTTGTGTGATATTTATAAAAAAACAACACAGATTGGGGTTTGGGAAAGGACCGAAACTCCCCCTGCCGTCTTTCTGGCAGTGACCATAGCCATATCTCTATCTCAATTCAGGGAAGCGAGTACCCAAAACTGTATTTACAATGAGATAAAAAAAAAATATTTCCCGAATTTTGCATGCATTGAACTCAAGTTTCTCTTTGTCCCTCAGAGATATACATAGTTTCTCCCACGACATGAGAAATTTCAGATGTTGTAGGCGTTCCTCCAAAATGGGAACAAAAACTGGTTCCTCACACCTTCCCACTCTTGCAACGAGTTCCCGTTACAAGTTCTGGTGGTTCAAAAGGAACGCATTCCCACTATGCTTCCCAAGATTGTAACGTGTCGTGACATTGATGTTAGATTTGCATATTTTTCTGAAACATTGCGCCGGGTAATCTGTAGATAAAAGAAAGCACCGAGGTGAAAATATTCGTATCAGGCTGTGTGTCGTGTTGCCACAATCGTATTTGTTCCAGTAATTGGTTTTCAATTATCTCTTGGACACTTCCCTATCCTTTCGGGTAAGAAATTGAAATAGTCTATATTAAAAAGCCTAAATGCCTACTAAATCTTGGTAAAATTGCAGATAAATAGACAAGAAAAAGGATAGCCATTCCCCTTGCCATTGCCTCAAAGATTCAGCGAATTCCCATCCCAGTTCCGCCGATACAAGATGGAACGGCGGCATTCCTTTGTTTCTCCTAAAAAGAATGTGTTTGAGGAACGTCGTTCCATAGAGCTCTTGAAATTTCCCGCGACTTGGCAACATTGGTACGAGGGAGGCATGTAGATGGCAGGGTGCTTCCCACCAACGTCACTAAATGGAGGTCAGTTGATGAGCTTCCTGTAACATGTGGCACGTCCCCTCAATGGCACTCACTATGCTGTCGGCCCAGCCCGTGTGGACAGAATCGACATAACTGGTGGAATATTGGATGCACGTTGCGTGTGGTGGAAAGTGATTATGTTGGGGTTTTTATAGTGAGCATGAAGTTTGTGCAAATCTATGTGCGAAGAGAGAGTAATTCAAAAGAAGTTTTTCGTTGCCCATGAGAGCAATGCCGTCGGTTGTACTAGGGTAGCCTTGTACCTGCTTGTGGCAAGCAACGGGAAGCATCATTTATGAACGACGATCCATCATGGAGCTTGCCAACAGATAGGTCTAAAAACGTTGGCTACCCACATTGAGGATTTCGCCTTTCCCGAGAAAAAAAATAGCTAGGAGGTGATCTGGGCTCTTTTACTGTAAACATGCAAATCTTTTTTATTAAAAAAAAAAAATTAATGGGCCTGATTTTAGCAGACCTATCACATTACTCACACTTGAATGGACCTTTTTCCAGTAAGCTTCTGCGCATGCGTAGACTACCGCTGTCGCCATTTTCGCAGGACACCGGGATGCGGTGCCCTGTGAAAATGGCGACAGCAACATTGTCAGGATCTATCTTTGCGCGTATTTAGTTTATTTCGACGCTTTGTTTTTCAGTATTGGTAGCATGGAGTATAAAAAGCACTGAAAACCGGTACAACGGTACAATGCTAATGTGTTTTGACGGGTGGAGACATGTTTGGCTGCTCTTCGATTGTAGTTTGCAGACAACTCCCCAGACGGCGCTTGTTACTCAAAAAAGATCCATAATGATCATCTAGTCCAGAATGAATAGAGCAGCACAATTTTGAACTTCTTCAAAAGCACGAGTATGATATTTTATGCAGCGTTGCAGGTAACACACTTGTGGTAGTGGTTCAGTCTGGACACTGATTTTTCTGCAGTGGATAAGGTGGAATGCGGAGGAGGAAAAAAGTGTCGCAGCTGCTGTTAAGAGCTTTTTTTCCTTTTTTTTTTTTTTTTTCCCCAAACCGAAACTGCACTCAGTCCGGTCTGTCCCTGTTCCCCGCAAGGCTGTCATTCAGACCCCGTTCACGCAGCAGCACTCACGTCAGGTTTCTTTTACTGTCTCGCACTAGCAGTACTGGACGGGGAGGCAGGGACAGAGGCTATGCTGCTTGCTAGGGCCCTACCTTCATATGGCTCTGAGGGTGCACTGACTCGTTTAATGCTGTTGTTGTCTGGTTAGATGTCGGTCAGCATTTCTATTTTCGGCGCAGGTCCTCTATGTTTCGTTGAGAAAAGCGCCAATGTTTCATTTTCAGGCGTTGGCTCCCAAATTCGTTGGACCAGTATTGAAACTTTTCTGTCGTGTGGAATTCTAGAAATGCAACAAGTTGTTTTCTGCACTTTGGTTTGCGTTTAGGTGTCCTTTTAGGACTCCCACTCGGAGTGGCCACGCATTGACAGCAGTGTGGACGGTGCTACAGAATCATATAGAGGCATCTTTATATGAATTCTCCCCTATCTAATGCCCAAAAGAGTCCTTGGGGTAAATTAATAAATAAATAAATAAATAAAAAATAAAGCTCCTGTCCTTGTTGACTCTTGTCAGGAAAGCTTTCTTTGGGGCAATGATTTCTGGGGTTTGTCTCTTGCTTGGGACACAGCTCATTTCAGATGGTGAGCTGGTTGGTGATAGTGCTAAGGACACAGGTGGATATGAAGAAGATAATATGTACCATAGTCGGCAGACAAGGTGAGAACGACGGGGAGGAGGTTCAGTTGCCTTTCCTGCAGCTTCGACCGTGCTTCAACGTTTCGTGCACCAAGAGTGGGCATGCGCAGACAAAGCACGTCGGAAGGCACGGAGAGCGTGCTAGAGGGGTCATTTGAAAGACACGACCCGTTCCCACCTTGCCAACGACTGTAGTCCGGTCTTCTTTGTGTCCCTGTCCATTCTTTGCGCTATTTATTTTTAACATGTCACGTTCCACGGTTAATAACGACAAGTTTATTTGTTCAAACAATCAATTGATCAATCACTTCTCTCGCAGCCAAGGATGGGGGCGAACTGGGAGTTACTCGGGCAGACAGCACCAGCAGCCTGAGCTCCTGGAAGACCTCCCGTGCCAGCAGCAATGCCAAGGAGCGCAAGGTCTCCGGGGTGGGTAGCCTTTCTTTCCCGAACTGCCAGGGCTCGTGACCTTTTTTGCGCCTGAAAGTGTTGGGGCTCGGCCCCTGGATGAGCTACGTTTAGAGCATCAACACTCTCCGACTTTCTTTTGGGCGCTCCCATCCTGTTGCCCAGTGCAGAGCAGGCGCAACTGGCGGCGATTCCAACTTGCGACTTTCCCAACTCTAGATACTGTGTCGGAAAGAGTGATGTAGTTTTGCTTCATCACAGACTGTTTTTAACGTATCTGGAGGAGGGAAAAGTGTTTGCTGCAATTTCGAATGACTGGCAACAATATTTTTAAGTGAGACTTCTTTTAGTGGCTCAAACAAAGAACACAAAAACTTTGAGAGATCACGAGGAAGACTCGGAGAAAACTGCAGAATATTTTGACTCCTCAAAAATCTCGAATGAGGCAAGTTCTGCGGTTTTAGGACCTATTTGTGGTGAATGTGCTTGCCACGGCAGGGGCACAGCTAATGAATCGGGGTTTAATGTGGGACCAAAGATTTTGCCACTAACTGCTGCCAGATGGAATATATTTTTTTGTTGGGCTTCGGTAGTGTGTAAGTTTAGTTGACTGGGATGTAAACTGGTTAGAAAGAGGGCTGCAGTATATGTGCTGAGCAGTTTGTGAGTTGAGACGGCTTGTTGTCGAGCGTCCAGGTACCGAAAAGTCGGGGTCCCCCGAACGCAAACGTGAATAGCTACATCTCCTTTATTAAAGGGCAACTCTGATTAATTTTACATATTAGGAAAACAATGCAATTCTTTTTAGTATCGCCTAAAAAGGCCACGTGCTAAATATTTCGATCTAATTCCGCCTAAGAGTTGATGAAACTAGCAAACAAAGATTGAGGTGCGCGAAATTACCAAAATCAACTAATGCTGGCAGGAAACGGGGGGTGAAACCAACAGCGCAGTCGATACCATCGTGTCGGCTCAACCCACCCTGCGCTACCTGCATTGTGCTCGGGGCTCTTGGGGAGATTCTTTTGCTCGTTTTGTACTTTAAGCAGAGCCTACGGGCGGCGCTAGCTGTGCGCTCATTGTTGACCACGGGATTTGCGAAACGCGCATACGCCTGTGTGCTCCCACGCGAGTGTGTTCATTGCCGGCAGCATCTGTCGCGTGCGAGAGAGCTAGTTTGTGACGTTGGGCAGGGCATACTTCGACAAACCCGTCGCGATATATTCATCTGTGGTTTACTAAACTTTACTTTCTATTAATGTTTTCAAAACAAGCTTGGGAAAACTTGCTTTTTTCTGCGCTAAAACACAATCTGTGGCCGCGGTAGTCAAGGTGTCGTCGGGTGTAGCAGGCTTCCGATCGTAGCAGACGGCACTTGTGTACTTGCGCCAAGCTGCACACAGCTGCCAGGTATGCGACGTCACGGATTTTACCACGTGGTTAGAGGTGGTGGGTGATGACACAGGAGCAATGTTGCCCGCCGCAGGGAAGCTCTTGGTTTCGGTTTCTGGTAAGTTTTAAATGAAGATAGCACAAAAAAATCTTTTTTTTTTTTAAAGAAATGATTTAGAACCATTTATTACTACCTCAAGATATATAATCAACCGTTAACTCCAATTTCTTGGTACTAATCGGAGTTGTCCTTTAAAGGCATAAAGGACGTTCGATTGTCCTTTATGCTGGGACCTCTAGCGTAAACTACTACCAGGATCAACACATGCGACAGCATGACTCTCTGGCTTTTGTGACATCATTTGTTGCCAGCTCAGTGCCACTTTTAATACGTGGGCAGAATAGGACGCAGTGATGCGATTGCTGCACCATTTGCGCCAAACTGCACCAAAGGGCCTACCCTGCTACATCCTGCCACATTTGGCCCTAATGTGAGGAACTTGTGCCAACGTTGCACCAAAACTTGACTTTCACTTTATTAAATACTGAAAATATGATGGCTCAGGCTCGGCTACACATCCGGATTGTTATGGGAGGCTTGTGCGAATTGTCAGAACGTTTGATTTTAACCGCAAATAACGTACTATCCTATTTGATCTCTCTGTCTGTGTCAAACACTGACAGTACTCGGAATTTATGAGATATCTCTTGCGTTTCTGGTCTGCTCTGGATGTGTAAGTCAGCTTTTTTGAGTGCGGTTGTCACCACGCTCGTGTGTGCTGCTGTGAAGTGGTAACCACGGAGTAAGCCTCGCAATTTTGCTTGTCTTGCTTCGCCGCAGCGCATCTGAGTGCTAAAAGGAAAGCATTCCCCCAGAGCGGGACGTTAAACATGCAAGCACCGGGTATATTAGGAAAAGGAACTTTGTGAGTATTAAAGTAACAGCTCTTAGTTGTAGTAAAAATTTCTCAATTGTACTTTGGCTACTATTTATGATAAACTGCAGTATTCTAGCGATATCTTTTTCAAATTCATGGTTTAGCGAGTACTCTCAAGAAAATTTATATGAACTGCTCTATAGGTTTATTGTTACTTGAACTCTGTTGTTTAGTTGTCACTTTTATATATGTTTTATCCATTTGAAGTACTGTCAATAGAATAAACTAAAACTGAATTATCTGAAGCAGTATAAGGAAGCTTGGGTGTAACCTGAACAACATCGTTGGGATTGCTTTAAGAAGGCATACTTATCCTTCATATGCCGATCTGTTATTATGAGGTTCTGCGTACAAAATGTCATTAATTTTTATAATTTACTGGCAAGTTTTTTTTTTTTTTTTTTTAAATATGCATTAAGAATTTTTGTTTTATTACAAGCTTTAGAACTTAAATGAAACATCAATTTGTGTCCTCAAGATTATTCTAACATTATTTTAGTGGAATATACTCTTTGGTTTATATTTCATTTCGTACCAAAAATGACCATTCACAGCTGTCCATACTGTCCACCATCGATCAACATCTTGTAGCCATGCCTAGGGCTTTTACGTGAAACTGAACAGCTGCTTTCATGTTTAAGGAAATCAAATCTGCCGTTACACAGAAGTGTGAAGGCAAAGCATGCATATTTGTTAGTTGGATAGGCTAACTCACAAATCCTAATGTATAATATTCACGGACGTATGAATAAAAATGAAGTGTCTGCTTGTGCTTCAAAAGTACTTGTGGTTGCTCCAAAAGGTGCCACAAAATGACTTGGGTCAATCGCATCACCGTAGGACACCGAACACACCAGTCAGAGATGCATACCGTCACAGAATGGAAGATTGTCGAAAGCAATGTTGCTGTCAAAATTACCGCCGACTCGAGCCGTCGTCTTGATTTAGCGTTTAGTGACGGGGGGTGAAACCACGTGCTTGCATCAGTAGCCTTGACAGCATTGTACACTAGGTATGAAACAAAATCTAGTCTCTGGGTGCTTTCTTTTTGCTAAAACGTTGCTCTAAACATTTGGAACAACGTCGGGCAGTGCAGTGAGCCTGCTAGGAATGAAAAACTTCCACTTTAAAGGCCTTTTCACGCATACACCCAGCACTACCTCTGCAACATTACCGTAAAATCCCGTAATGGTGCCCTCCAATGAGAGATCGGTCATCCTACTTTTCTGGCTAAATACTATCCATAATGTAAACATTCCGGAACATTGCCCACCCCCTGATTTCCATTGGACATTGTGCGATGTCCGAAAGGAATCGCTTCAATTGTGCGATATGCGGTACCTGTACATGTGGTGAGCGGGTTACCGCATTTTTGTCTGCGATCTGCACGCGTATTATCGGTTCCTGTGACATGCGAGTTCGTAGCAAGTTCCAGTGCTTTTTGTCCGCCGTCTGCATGCACGATATCGGTTCCCATGGCACGCAAGTTGAACCGGTTTCCCCCTGTTTATCGCACCGTGATACATGAATCTGCTGCATCCACAATCTGTGGTATCCTTTCCCAGACATGGGAGTTTGTAGCAAATTCCCACGTGTTTGTCACATTGTGCAACGCAAACTCGTTGTGTCCGTGATGTGCAGTGTCAGTTCCCACGATTTTTTGTCTCATCGCCAAGGATAGCCCAGCTCATCTTTTCACCATTCATCTCTTCATTTTAGGTAGGCACCCTTACGAAATTTAGGGCGCCGCCCTTGCCAATGCGGCCCTGATTTTGCGCTGTATTAGTGACACGACGCCATTACGGCGTTGGATCGGTACCGGGTTGCGTTCAAATCGGCGCTGTCCCTAGCGTCGGTTTAACGTGGTGACGTACGCGCTAACTTATCTTTAGCGGAGGGTTGCAGTTGTTCTTGGCTCAAGGAGATGAGGGATGTTGGGGAAAGACAATGCAACTATTTTCGCACCCGGTCGTGCCGTTTGCCGAAAAGTGTGCCTCTGCCCGCCGCGCGGCCGCAGAGCCAGAGGGGGCGGCGCGGCGCCGTGTCTACGGAGGACCTGGTGAACGACGCCATCCTGGTGAGTGGGGCCGGCCAGGACTGCAAGCCCGGCAAGTCCAAGGCCTCGCTCGGCCGGCGCTCCGGGATTCTGCTCGGCTCCTCCAAGACGGTGAGCTTTCCGGGGTGCGGGCTTCTTTTTGCACCCGTTCGGCTTCCCGGGTGGCGAACGGTGGCGCGACATCGGGAGAGTCAGGTGACAGCATTGAACCCAGTGCTGTAGGGATGCGTCCCGGTCCAACGTTGGACGGACGGGGATTTGTGCGTTGCGACATTGTTGTTCCGCTCATACTTTGATCGTTATGCTGATGTCGGCTTTCTTTCTTTTCGAGCTGCATACCGACTTCTTTTTATTTCTTTGCTTTTGAAAGAACAGTGGCTTACATCTGTGTGCCGTGACCGGTACGGTTAGATATAAATGCGGATGTTTGGTGAGACATGTTGCACTCGAGATGCTCCTGAAGTGATTTCGTCAATAAAGTGGTCGGGTTGACAGAAGGGTCACAATTTCATTTCTTTATTGTCCAGATGGAAAAGGAATAGCTGAAGACGTTGCACATAAAGTCTTGTCAACCTTTGTGTGATTGAGTCTAAGCAATGTTAATGGAATCGAAGATTTTGTTTACAAAAGCACATAGATATCATAATTTGTTTATCTTTGCTTTGATCTTCAATGTCGAACAGTAGCTTATGCGAGTAAATGATGGAAAAATGTTAAAGGGCTTGTTAAACGGTTTATTCACTCTCCTTGGGAAGTGCACATTTAAAATCTCGAGGCCTTACATCATGACTCCTGAGCATTTCTTTCCCCCTCTAAAGTTTTATAACAAAAAAGAGATAAAAGTATATCTTTTTTTGTGTGGTTGCAAGAGTAACTGTGCCCTCAATTTGCAAAAGGTATTGTTTGAAGGAGCTATTATAAATTTTGTGGTTGTAAGAAAAATAAAAACAATAAGAAAGGTCTTGGAATAGTGCTTGCAGTGATGTTGTTCCGGCGTTGTTTTTGAGCTTGTAGAGTGGTCATGAATATGACTAAAAAACTGGTTTTTAACTTTTTTTTTGCACACTAAAAAAGCTTTACGCCCACCAGTTTTATTTAGTTTTGAAGCTGTGCGGAACAGTCTTAAAATATGTTTGAAAGAACATAGGACCATGGAGTAGACGACAAATCATTGTTCTTGTCTGAATTTTAGAAAAAATGTCTGCTAAATGTGTGAGATGTGGGTACATGCTTTACATTTGGCCATTAGAAGACCTCATACCTACCAATAAACTGGTCATCACCTTAAGATATACACTATTGCAAAGCTTTTGCTCTGTGTCAACTGTTTGTGTGTGTGCGGCCTATGCTCAGCATTACGCTAATGTTTAAACCCACTTTAGACGGTCCGCAAAAAGCGGTTTCTCAACGTATCGCACTGCGATTTACTATAGAGATGCAGTGGTGGAAGCTTGCAGCAAAAATATCCACTGATGAACTTGCCCCATTCAAGAGGGAAAAAAGAAGAACCTGTTTCGGGCAATACGGCGTCATTCGCAGATGGTGCTTGCCACCCGTGCAATGCTGCCGACAGATGTCAAAAGCGACGAGGATGCTTTGCCAGTCAGCTTAGCAGTCAATCTTCCGAACAATTTGAATACGCTTCCTTGGTGGTGCTCGTCTCTGTAATGTAAAATTTTCAAAGTGGAATATTTATTTTTAGTGAACTAAATTTGAAGAGGTACTTAAATCCCCCAGAGCCCCCATTTCTTGTACTGGGGCGATTAAACGAGGCGCCTCATCCCCTCATACTTCGCACCACCCCATCTGTCGGCAGCACTCACAAGTCGGGGAGTACCGTTATGGCATCATCCACAAATGTCACCGTAGATTGTCCAAAACAGGATTTTTATTTTTATTTCTCGAACGAGGCAAGCTCGCTTGTTGATACTTTCATTTCACACTTCGACCACCCTGCCGCACCTCCATAGTAGATCGCAGCATGATACATTGAGACACTGGCTTTTGCTGGCTGTATAAATTGGGTTCCAAGCGTTGCGTAAGTTCGCTGGAGCGTTAGGATAGCAGGCGACAAAGGCAGTGTAGGCAAGCGGGCGTGGGCATTTGAGGCGGCCAACTGCGCTACCCTTTCTCTCCTTTGCTCCCGTGTCACAGGGTAGATGTGACAGCAATTACATGGTGCTGAATTTTCTAAGTACCTGCTGCAGGCCAGCATGGGGCACCGATTGAACGCGAGTGCTGCATCAGCGTTCGGCTAGGGCTCGTGTTCAGTCTGCTTAGCGTGGCCTTTCGGGCTCCTCGCTAACGTTCCGTTCCGAAGCCACCACGTCCGGCGTCCTCCCCTCTCCCCGGCAGGACAAGGAGGAGATGCGTGCCCTGACGGAGCTGCTCAACGGCTACGACCAGGGCGGCATTCCCAGCTTCCCCGGACTGCTGACCTTTGGCACGGCCTCCAACGAGCACAAGTTCCGTCTGGAGGACAACTGGAGGTCCATCGTGGACGACCCCGACGTGAGTGGACTCTCGGCCCCTTCTCCTCCTACTGCCGAAGAGAAGTGTCTGAGCATGGGGGCACGGTGCTAAGCAAAGCTAAAGAACCGTAGCTTTAACTAAACTATGGCTTCTTCCAGAGTTGTCAACTATCAAAATAGCTTTGGTAGGCTGCCGAATGAAATGTTGGCGGATTTCATGTGGCAGGCTCAGAGGTGAACTTGGTCTTCCCTAAAGCGAGGAGCAGTAGCAAAATCACTGAGCACACTCGCATAGGATATTCTCATTTCTTGCTCCCATGTGAAAAACGCAGCCCCAAGAGGATAGATGGCAAGGCCTTTGGCCAGTTGACTGGGCATCCTTCTTCCCCACGGCCGCTACAACGGTTGTTGGTGGAAGGAAATTCGATGTTCTAGTTCTAGCCAGTTTCGTTTTACATTTTTACTGAAAACTTTTCTAGCTTTTGTGAATACTTGTTCTTATCTGCAGCTCCACTTCTAGATCCTTCAATAAAATTGGGCTTCAGTCACGTTGGGAACTATGAAACCAGAAAAGGGAAATGAATTTTAGTTGGTTATTTCAGACGTTTCACTATTTCGGAGATAGTTTTGAGTGAGTTTGGTCGCTGAAGGGCAGACATATTTGAGAAGTTTAATCATTAATCAGTTCGTTGTACAAAACATCTGAGACAGCATGGTAAAAAGTGATTGTGAATGTAATGGCAGAAGAAAATCTTACAGTACCTGATGGACATCATGTGCCATTAAGACAGGCTGGATTTCCCATGTCTAACCTTCCAGACACCCAATTTGACATTTTTCTTATGGTACAGTATACCTCTAAAAAATCCTTTCGAAGGAGGCAAGCCTTGACTTAACCTAATGAAATGCATGTTTTCAAGGTACAGTGAACTTTAGTTAGTTCAACCTCGGTTAATTCAACTTTTCGTTTAGTTCGATCGTGCTCATAAGTCCCGGCGAGCACCCATAGATTTCTATGGGAGGAAAAGTTTGATAGTTCGAACTCGGGAAGACTTCACATTGGATAATTCGTCTCGGGCGAATGCACGTGGGTTCACATAGCACGTATTGCACGGCACCACGGCAGAAAAACCACCAACGTATGGCGAAACACGGGCTCTTTGCTGCAAAGCCGAACGTGCGCAAATATGCGCCTGCTCCTCTACGTCATTGAGACGGACCATAGCGAATGACACTAGCCAGCGCAAACAATCTGGCGTGGAGTAGCGCGGAGAACATAGCACGTGGTACGGCGCAGAGACAACGCAAGCGTGCGCTCTCAAAGCGCTTTCCTGTAGCATCTTGTGCAGTCCATCTTGCGCGTCGGGAAATGCAAGTTCTCTTTTCTTTTCTTTTTTTTTTTGTTATTTTTTTCTGTCACGGACGGTCTGGCCGCCCGGCGCCAAAGTCGGCTCGTAAGAGCCTTTAAGTAGCATCGTGTGCGGTCATCTTGCGCGTCGAAAAGCGAGGGTTCTTTTTTTTTTCTTTTTTTTTTTTTTTTGTTTGTTGTCATTTTTTTTTGTTGCTGACGGTCTGGCTGTCTGGCGCCGAAATTGGCTCGTGAAACTTACTTTTTTAAGTTTTTTTTTTTCTTCTTTTTTATTTTTGTGGTGCGCGAAGGGCATGTTTAGTGCCCTCCGGAGCATGCCTTTGGACACGCGTTTTAAGCGCAGACGGCAGCACACCATCGGTATGTACTTTGGACAATAAAAGGAAGCTTAATTTTAACCGTTTTTCTGTCCTCTTTTTAATTCGATCATTCAGATAATTCTATCAAATTTCAAGGTCCCGTCGAGGTCGAATTAACGAAAGTTTACTGTATCAGACCCTAGAAATCACCACTAAAAGATGGGAAAGCCGAATGTTGAGACACACTCTGACATCCGTCATTACACTGTCTTTCGGTAAGAACTAAATATTGCAGGAACCATTTCTCGTTATTTTATGGCACCCTCGTGCTGGAATAGTAATCTTGCCTGTGGGAGTCGTACGGTGTGTAACACCTTCATGCTGTCTGTTCTGTCCGCACACCAACCCCCCGTCAATGCTCTTGCAGTCCTTTCCGAAAAGGGTCCGCAACCAACAGGATGCCATATGGGAGCTCATCTCGACCGAGGTGTCGTACCTGCGCACCCTCAAGGTCATCACCGAGGCAAGTGCTTTGTGCAGACTGGTTGCTCGTTCCACCGTGGGGCTCCGTCCTGACGTCACGGCCTTCTTTCTTGCAGCTGTTCCTGGCGTGCCTCTGTAACCTTCAAAGCGAGGGCATCTTGCAGGAGGTATGTCTTGTCTCTTTGGATCGGTGGATGGGAGTAGTTGGGCAAGGGAAGGCAGTTGCAGCTCTTGATGCGAAGGAAGGACATAGTCGTGTCTATTCCTCGTTTAGGGGGTCACCGCTGGGACCGGTTCGGACCGATTGAAAGCGAGCCTGCTTTCGTCGAGGTTTGGCTTAAGACAAGTTCCTCTCGAGGAGGCCTAATATTATGTGGAAATTGTTTACACATGACATTGGCAGAACGAAAACGGCCTTTCGAACGCCCAGCGTCTAGCACGAGCTTCGTGCCTTCCGTTATGCTTTGGCTGCGCACGCGAGGCACGCGAGACAATGAAGCGTCTAAGGTTATTCCGTCCTCGGCTCGAGCTTCCTACATTCGACGCTTCGTCATCTCATGCACCTCTGGCATGCATTCGCAATTGAAGCGAGGGTGAAGGGCATTGAGTGCATGCTGGAGGCCGGGCACTCGAAAGGCATGCCTTTCCGTTCTTATTCAGTCGGTGACTGTACACCAACTCATGTTTAAAAAAAAATCGGAATGCCCCTTGTGGCACACCATCTGCGCCGCACACATTGCGACAGGGTGTGGGCAAGAAGCACTGTGTCTCGTGTCAACAAACCATTGGAATGCAGAGATGTCGGTGTCAGTGTGAGTCCCTGTGCTCCTCTTCGTGTTGGAATTGTTGATTCTACGTCTTCCTACCAATGTCTTGCTACTGCAGTGGCCTGAGCGAAATTAACGAGGCTCGTTACACCAGAAAACTTTGTGTAAATAATGTGACGTGTGGCGATTCATTCCGCGTGAGCGCCAAAGAAGGAGCGCTAAAGCCTGATTCACACAATGCTATTCTGCTCGCTATTTTCAGTTGTGACGTCGCTCAGGCTGCAAATACGCGTTCGGTACCTGTGAGACTCGACATTGATATTGAAAATCGCAAGCAATATCGAACCAAGCGAATCAGGCATAACGAATCGGTGGTAGCCATTGGTAACAATTATCAACATCTCCTTGTATCTCCTGTTTACACGGAGCCTACTTACCCAAGAACTCCTTTAAACTTAATTTTTGAGGCCTGTACTTCTTGCTGTAACGTTTTGTCTACAGGCCGCTGTTGTTTAAACAAGCAGGCGACAGTCTGACTTATCAGACGGCCGTTTGAACGGGAAGATGCACTGAACGGTGGTCCAGACAACTTGACAGTTTTCCTGCGTTCACGTTGGAACAAAACCAATAAATCTGACGACCAGAAATGTCCGCGAGTTCTACCCAAAGCGCTTCTCGCACAAGCAATCGTGATCCGACGATATCTGGTCTCTCTATTCACAGCACCCATCCATGTTCTTAGAAGACGGAGCAGACAGAATGCACTTCAAAATTAATCTTCAAACCTTTCCTAGTTCTTTTGGTAGAGCCCCAGTCGTGGCATTCTGACGAGAAGGCAGGTTTTAGTCTGGCTTCTTCCAAAACAACATAGAAATGCCCATCCCGCATGGCGACTTCCGCCCACAGCCCCAGACCGGAAGTAAGCCCGACGCACCACCACCGCACCATGACGTAACAGAGCTTAGATGGTGTATAGACTGCCCAAGTTTCTCGCATTCTTCTCCGAACTCAACCGGCCAAGAGTCCTCAGCGCTCCGGTGTCATCCGTTTGTGCAGGTGGACACGGAGCGCATGTTCAGCAACATCACGGATGTGTACCAGGTGAACCACGCACTCTGGGACGACTGCCTGCTGCCGGCCCTGAACGCAGCCAGGGCCCGCCGGGGCCTTCTAGACCCTCTGTTGCTGCGGCCGGGCTTCCTGCGCTTCGAGGAGGCTTTCCAGCCCTACATCAAGTACTGCCTGGAGCACACGCAGTGCTCCCACTATGTCAAGGAGAAGCGGGCAGAGAGCGACCTCTTCAAGACCTACGTGGCTGTGAGTAGCCTGCTTGCCGAGGATGGCCTTGCCTGCCGAGACGTGTTGAGACGTGTTTTGTGTGTCCCCCTGTCGTCCGTTCGTCTCTGGTTTAATTTATGAGCAACGAAAAATGACCTCCCGGGGAAAGGTGGAAGGAGGACTTGTCGGCCGGCGCAAAGCGCAGTTTTCCTTTTGTGTTTTGCCTGTTTTTCCTTGGGTCGAACATTCCAGGATCGTGGGATGCGTGCATTCGTGCGTCGTGAAATCCGAACTTCTGCTACATTATTTTTATGGGGAGTTTGCCAGGCCCACGCCAAATCGTCGTAAAATGCAGGATGTCGTACGAACTGCGGACTCACAATTGGGGTTTAGCTCTAGCTTACTAGGTGGCTTTACGTGCCGAGTGCTAATCAAAGGTAGCAATATGCCGTGTGGGGAGCCTCCGGAATGCTAGGCCTTGTGGTCTGTTGCCGCACTGCAGTGATAGGGAACGTGGCAGTTTATTACAACCTTTCTTTTTAGCAGCTTAACCCACCCGGGCTCTTTGCGTGGCATTTTTACTGTACCAGTGCTGCTGTACCAGCTCATATTGCCACACCCTCTACACTCCTAGAAGTCTGGTGTATCTACTCTCCGACCAAACATTTGGTAGAGGCAGTCACTGTGACCTGCGGGGGGAGCTGTACGAATGACGAGGAGAAAGACAGTGTGCGCTCTGGCACTGAGCATGGCATAAGCATATGAAACATTGTGCTCATAGTCGCAGTGCAGGCTGTCCTCTTAAATCTAAACATATTTTCACCCTCGTCTTTCACCGAGCCTCCTGTGTTGATTGCTGCGATTGACTCTACCAAGTAATTAGTGGGCAAGCACATACATCATATTTTCTTAAAGTGTAGGAGAGTATGGGTTGTCCTCGAGCTATAGTCAGATACGAGTTAAGAACACTCCAGAAGCTCCTCCCACACTCTCATTATCATGGTCAGTGTTGTGCCCCTTACTGAAAATAAGGGACGAGATAGCATTACTATTCGTTACTGCGTCGAAAATGTAGGCATTACTGAGATTCATTACCGCCCTCTAGATGTAATGAAATACTGTTATCTTTACTTCCAAAAACTAACAAAACATTAGGTACTTTTGCGTTACCTTAGATGTAAATCATTTCTTGCCTTCAAAAAGGTGTGGATGTAACTTTCGACAATGATTAAACTTTTAAAAGGATATGCTCCTCGAGAATATATATTTTTTTAAATTTTGAAGCTAGTACATATTGAGCTCCTCTTGCATATATGTAGTCAGTTTTCTGATATCTGCCTTGGTGAAATATCTGTGCTGTATGAAGGCATATAAAATGCCTTTTTGGTGCACCATTTTTTTTCCCTCAAATTTACTGTAAGAGAGCATCCTAAAGCAGCCTGGTTGCTTCCTTGTGAACAGTAGAGTGTGCAAACCCTCCTGGAAAAACAAAAATCTATGCCTCGAGAGGAAATAAAAATGATTAACTATTGAGTCATTACTTTTAATTTTATAATTCTTATAAAAGTTCAGTAGTGCCAATTGCATAACTAGCAAGATTTGCACACTCTATACATCACCAGGAACGCCGGTGCAAAATTTGGTTGCTACACAGTAACTGCATTCGGTAAAAAATGTGTGCACAAACTTTAAAAACAGGCAAAAGCGCACTGTGCTGTCTGTTTCTCGCCTCTTTGTCCCTGTTTTTTGAGCGCTAAAATGTATTCCAAATTCCAAAACCAAGTAGCCGAACAATCTACTCTACAAAAATACCAATTTGAGAAAAACACAAATGAAAGTTTAGTTTTATGTGACATACCTAAATTCTCACTCAAACCACACAAAATTTGGTTGTAATCTAGTACCAAATGTCAGAGTCTGGAGCACCAAACTAGAATCCCCCCGCTGCATAGGTTGCACCCTCGACCTCCACAACAGCAAGTTTGCGCATCCCACACGTCCCACACGTTGTACCACCCACAAGTTCCGTCACAGTTCCAACTTCGCAGGTAACAGCGCTTGCGCCGCTTCCACTTCTCGCTGTCTCTTCATCTCGGAACGCTGTCAGCTTCTTTTCCGATGCGATCACAAAGCTAAAAGCATCGACGATGAAAACAGAAGTGCTTGACTGACCGACAGTTGTGTTGTTGGGTGCGCCGCCATTTTGCTCGCACAACGGGGCTGTCGTTGCGGCCGCCGTGCTTGTTACGCTTTTTTGCTTTGATTTGCATTTCCCCTTGTTCGGCCACGTAGTCCGGCTCTTGCGGTGACGAAAGTTGCGCTTCTTCTCGCCATCCATAGTTGGAACTGTCGGAAGGAGAACAGCAAACTTGGTTTTCGTTTGAGAAGGTAGTGATGCGGTGCGATACGAAACTATGTGCGAGCTTCACTGCACGTCACATCTTGGCGGCGGCCAATGGTGGTCGCGCATTCGCGTCACGTGCCACTTGGAGCATAAAGAGTATACAGGAAAACTTTTATTTTTTTATTTTTCCTATTGCGAGTACGAAACTATGGAAGGAGTCAGTGGAAAGATGGAGGCTTGCTCTTTCTTCTCGGAGCAACGAAAATGGCAGGTGACGCCGAACTGCTGAGAGATACAAGCTCAAAAACGCCTAAAACGTGCAATTTTCTGAGCCGCAGAGTGGCGTTTAGACACATATTTTTATAACTTATAGGGCGAATTTTCGGACAATTTGCGGATCTATAATTCTTTACTCCTTAGTCATTTAAGAATCTACCGTAAAGTTTCGAGAGAACGCCCGCCCCCTCGAGATCGCCCATCACGTTTTTCTGTCTAAATATCTGTAACATAAACATTCCAAAACATTGCCCCCCCCCAAATTTACGTCGGACGTCACGCAATATCCGACGGGAATCGCATCAACCGCACAATTTGCTGTACCGGCAAGTCTGAGAAGCGAGCTTACAGTGGGTTCCCGCGTTTTTGTCCGCGATCTGTGCACGTGATATCGGCCCCCGTAACATGCGAGTTGTTCCCACGTGTATGTTGCACTGTGAGATGCGGATTTTCTGCGTCCGCAATCTGCGGTACCCGTTCCCGTGACAAAGTTTTTAGCGGATTCCCGCGTTTTTTGCATTCTGCGGTCGCGATCTCTAGTCCACGCGAGCTGGTTTCGCATGTATATTGCATCGTGAAATACGATTCTGCTGCGTTTGCGATCTGCGCTATTTGTTTCCGTAACATACGAGCTTGCAGCGGGGTTTCCTGCCTTTTTGTCCGAAATCGGTTCCCGTGATGGGCAAGTTTGTAGCAGGTTTCCGCGTGTTTATTGCACCATAAAACCTGCATGTGCTACGTCTGCAATTTGCGGCATTCATTCTCGTGAGATGCGAGTTCTCAGCGGATTTCCGTGGGTCTTTCGCGCCGTTAAACGCAAATCTGCTGCATCCGCAAGCTGCGGTACCCTTTCCCGTGACACAGGAGTTTGTAGCGAAGTCCCGTTTGTTTATCGCATCGTGAAATGCGAATTTGCGGTGTCCGCGATCTGCGGTATCAGTTCCCGCGTCACGTGGTTTGTAGCCAGTTTTTGATAAAGTTTTGCTGTGGCGTCCCCAAAGATAGCCCAGCCCATGTTTTTCACCATCTATGTCTTCATTGTGGGTGGGCGTTCTTTCAGAACTTTATGGTAAAGGGTGCATAGTATTGTACTGAAAAAACTGGGTGCATGTTTGGTGATTCTGCCAAATGCGTTTAAGTGTGGTAGCTTAATAGGGTGGGTGCTATTCTTAGTCCGCAGGGTGCCTAGGGCAGGACGTCTTTCGGTGTTTGGGGTGAGTAGTGCCTAGGCCAGGGTTTTGTATCGAAACAGATGACGTCGCACCATAGTCTCTTTGTGACGCTGCGCGTGCTTCCCTTCAGGCTTCAGCACCATCCAGATACAAAGCCTTTCCTCCGAATTTTCTGGGTCGCCAAGAGAGGAGAAGCACGCTTTCCTGCCCTTTTCACTCCTTCTTGTTCTGTGCACTCTTTCTACACCAGCTGTTTTTTTTTCTGCTCCTCTTTTTCTTGCTTTCTCCACTCCGCACACTTTCTTGCACCACCTGCTTCTGCTCTTCCCGTTCTTGCATGCTGGATCTATAGCTCAGTCAGTGGCGTGCTCGTCTTCCACTCCAATGACCAGAGTTCAATCCCTGGCACCGATTGCCATTTTCTTCGAGATAGCTCTGGACTGACCGACCTACACATCTCGTGCTTACGCTGCCCCTAAGGTTGGTTGGCCCTATAAAGCTACCGCTTTGGAAAAGCTGTCACTTGTAACAAGCTATACTTCAAACACTGCCATGGGTCACTGTTCCTCTGCGATGCTCGAATAGTCCCCTACCGAGGCGTGCGTCAGACTGTTGACACATAAATTGCGATGGCCACGGGCTTTCCGGATTGGTCCACGGTGCAATTCGGTGCCGTGACTGGTATGTGATAGTGTTTATTTGGTAAATTCTGAACTTGTGTTTCGACTTTGGTATTGCGATTTTCCAGAGTTTTAACACAGAACGTATTCATGGGCTTGTTTTGTCGTCTGGAGTGCAACGGTAATGAAAATGTGTGCCAAGCCAATTTTTCTGCTAAATCTAGAGGGAAAGTTAGATACAGAATGTGTTCTGTGTTTCTGGCCTTTCAAACGACTCTGAAAATCACCAAAAGAGAACACAATGCATAGCACAGGTCTAAAATGACTAAAGAGTCAGAGTAAACACACATTCGAAAGTCTAAAAGTGCCAAAACATCAGAGAGATTATAGATGCACACTCTCAACTTTATGGGAATTTCTTGAGTTTGCACTCTTCTCTAACTCCTCATGATGCTGTCATTTACTTATGACGATTGTCAGGTCAGTGACCTCGTGGTTGCTCTGAGGGGTAATTTTGATAGTCTTCTTTCATCAGATGTTAAAAAGTTGTGTGACCCAGATATCATTCCTAACTCTTTTTAGAAATATAGAATGATGTTTCAAACTTCTTTGTGTGATATGCTCTTGCAGCTTAAAAACAGGCAGTACAGTCGAACCTCGATATAACGAACTTCAATGTAACGAAATCCTCAATTTGACGAAGTATTTTATTTTTCATAATTTCTTGCCCATAGACCCCATGTATTTTTAGTCTCTATATAACGAAGTCGATTTTGCTGCTATTTCAATATAACGAAGCGCCATTGCCATAGAAGGCAATAAATAAATCAACTCTAAAAAACAACTTCGCAAAAAAATTGTGGTTAAAAAAAGAAATAATATGCGCAAACGCGAGCGCTTGTTAGGTTACTTCACGGGGACAGGCCTTCCAACGCCGAGGATGCGGCGCCGGTAGCGCCGGCGAGGCATGCGGCAAAGCGGATTCCGCGGGGCTGGCCAGAAAATGCCGAGCAAAAAGTTTACACGGCATAACAGCATCACCACTGACATTCACTGATCATCATAGTCCACTGTACCGCGGGTAGCGCGGGAGCCAACTTCAGCGGGGGAGCGACGTGATGGCGCGACCGCGCGACCGCACGGGCAGTGCTATCTAGGAGAAGACCGAGAAGACCGATTATCGTCTTGCGAGCGTGGTGCAAAGCAAAGGCGCAAGCACACTGTGGGCGCAAGGGGGAAAGTAAACTGTGCGGTCAAGAGTGCTGTGTAGGTTGGAAACATTGGCACCGCCTAAACTAAACAGCTTTATTTTTTAACCGGGCGGTTCACTCACGTGCTTGCTGCCATAAGGAAACGTAAAGTTGTTTCTTTGGATGAGAAAGTAAACGTTTTGGACGCCATCCTGAAGAAACTGCCGAGATCACGAGCACTCGGGAAGTGCTCGACGCAATGGACGTACTGAGGAGGTACACGGCGTCACATGGGCAGCAAGATGCCGTGTAAGCGCTCTGGGCGCTCGAACGCCGTATGACGCCGCTGCTACTGTCGGACAAGGCGCAAGCAAAACTCGCGGACTACTTTGCCCCTAAATAAATGTCATTTTCGGTGAGTTTTCATACCCGTAAAATGTTTCGGAATTTTTTTTTCGCATGCTAAAGCCAAATTTCGATTTAGCGAAATTTGAATGTAACGAAGTAAATTGCGAATTTTACCGACTTCGTTACATTGAGGTTTAACTGTATACCGCAAGATTGAAAAAAAGGTAAAGGGCCCGCATGCAGTAGAACTTTATTAATATATTCTCTAAGGGACTGCAGTAAAAATATATGTAATCAGGGAGAATGTAACAATTGATAAGTCTTTTGGGAGGTTATAGGTGAGACGGGAAGCCACTCTCGCACAGCAATTTATTTAATGTGGACTTGCACAGCTGCAGAGAAGTACCATATTCAATATATAAATGGGGCTCGACATTTTGTTTTCAGCTCTTTCTTTCCAGTTAATGGCTGACTCACAATTGTAGCAAAAGAATGTTGGCCTTATAAGAGTGAGCAATATTTCCGAGCCTATTGAGCTAGCTCAGATGCTCTCCCGCATCAGGCACTGCTCCTAGCATGCCCGTCCTGGTGGCACCTATGGGAGTTAGACGAGACCGGAGCTTTTGAGCACAACATCCGGGAAAACATACATACTGGGAAAATATTGGCGATGTTCTACCGTATTTAAGCACCACCGCATTAATGACTACGGAATTTTATGGTTAGAGAAGCCTTTGAAGAAGCCCACATTGTGTCATTGAAGAGCATTAAAAAAAAATCCAAATGTTTCGTAGAACACTGAATACAATTGAAAAGACTTTTTAGATATGCGTTCTTTGTTTCGTAGGAGCTCGGTAAGCTTGGCAAAGGAGCGTGTGTTGGTTGTGCCACAAGAATAAAGGAAAGGTACCGAAAAGGACAAATGCAGGATGAGATGTCTCGTGCTTTCTTAAGCCTCTTCGTTGCATTCGATTCACTCCTGGCTTAGCATAGTGCCCATTTGTTTTCGAATCACATTTGTTGAAACGAAAACTCGGGTCGACTACCCGTCCCTAACGTGTCTCCGACCAGTTTGTTCAGCGTTTCACCCTGCCCATTTATCCAGAGTGGTTTCAAAGGGACAAAGAGTTTTGTCGCAGGACCAGGCCTGTGACCCTAGCGGCCGGTCGTGAAAGTTCTGACAAAAAAAGACAACAAAACGAGAGTATCGCCGTCGTCGCGACATCCCAACCCGCTGGTAGTTGAGTCGGGATGCTGCTACAGCAACTTGGGGTGCCTCTAAGAACTGTCAAGCCGTAGAGCAAGCTGCAGCAGAACAGGCGTCCACCGCGTTTGCCAGGGTCACGGCAGGACACGTCTGCGACGTCTTCGGGCGGAAATCAAAAGACCCCGACACGGATTAGGTAAACGCACCAATCGGAGACGCGTTCCAGGTACCGCGTCTTTTGCTCCCTCTTGCCACTGTACGTCCCCACACTACCAGCACGTGGGAATGAGGAGGGGTTGCAGCCGTAGGCTCTCCGGGCGTGCTTTGATCGACGCGTGCCCGGCTCTCTGTGCAGTGGTGCGAGGCGAGGAAGGACTGTGAGCGTCTCCGCTTCACTGATCTCCTGGTGAAGCCCATGCAGCGGCTCACCAAGTACTCTTTGTTGCTGAAGGCCATTCACAAGAAGACGGATGACGAGGCCTCCAAGCAGGCCCTCGTTGAAATGGTGAGTAACCCCGCGGTGAGGCGTGTCTCGGCAACGCCCGGGGCGAGGGGCGGGCTGCCCGCGGTTGCGCGTCGTGACTTGCGGGTCGGAGCTTACTTCAGCTAGTGAATGCTCTCCAACTTGTCGCAGCAGAATGTGGCTATTCGTGTTCAGTTTCTTTAGGGGCCGGTTATTTATACGTGTCCGAATCTTTAATAAGTAGATTTAAGGTAGATTTGTGAATCTTGGTACCCTAAAGATTCAAATGGGCGTGTATGAGGCTAAATTTTTTACCGGCCCTTTGATCCAAGAAGATCATTGAGCAATTGGGTAGAGAGGTGATTCACCGGATAAATTATTAATGTGTTATCATTCATACCTACATGGCAGTAAAAAGCTGACGCCGTCCATCTACAGACAGGACAGTGGAAAGGGAAGCGCGCCGTGTAGAGAGAAGGAGAGTAGTGAAGGACAAAGGCGAGAGGGAGGCGACGTCACGGGGCAGAAGCCAATGCAAGTGCAGGAAACCGGTAACAGCAAAAGCGGCGTCAAGCAGTGGATGCCGCTGCTAAGCGTGCAAGGTGGCCGAACGAGACAGAAGGGCAAAAGCAGCGCCTAATTCGGCTGGCCTAAATGCAGCGCAAGGAGCGGCAAGCTGACGCAGGTTTGTGCGCAGCAGAGGCTGGGAAGAAGCAGGCTTGGTGAGCCCGCTTCGCCAGAAAAAATTAAAGGAAGATCCATTGGTGGATCCTTAGGGAATATGTTAGCATGACCTTTGGGAAATGCCTCGCACATTCCTTTTTGGGAAACACTGACGCTGACCCCGTAACGGAGCCTAAGAGAGGCAGCAAAAAATAGAGGAAGCAAAAAAAAAGAGAAGGCCACAACAGAAAAGTGTAGGGATCGGCATTAGTGTTCCCTAAATGGGGAGGGGACATGTGCGGCCTTTCCCAAGGGTCATGCCAATGCATACCCTAGGGGTTTCCCAATGGATCTCCCTTAAATTTTTCTTCAGCCATGTCAGTGGCAATTTTGAAAACGAGTCTTCGCTGAAAGAAATGTCTTGCGAGTGTTTGCAGTTTGTTGGTTCTCTCGAAAGCTATACAGTGCAATCCACTTATAACGATAACGAGAAAACCTGAAATTTCAATTGTTACAACTGATTATCGTTGTATCTGGACTAGAATCTAATCATTTCTAGACTAGAAACTCTAGAAACTGATCGTTATAAGCATTACATCGTTATATGTGGTATCGTTATAAATGGATCACACTGTATTAGAGAAAGGCCCAATAAAAATGCCTAGTAGAAGGTGTCTTTCCCAGTTTAGTGCAAACTTGCTTATAATGTTAATATTTTTCTAACTGACCATTTATTTTCTGATTAAAATTAAACTCCAATTGCGTCTTGCCGCCACCTCCATCTTTACGAGTTCCCAGGATCCCTTTGGGCAGCGCGGCATGTATCGAAAGCCATGCACTAAGCCGTTGCATTTCATTAGGGGCAGGGACTAGTACATGGAAACTAAAGACGTGTTCAATGCAACTTTACTCAAAATCAGGGATGGGCAGTATTTCATATACAAGTATTTGAAATACGTATTTCAAATACTTAGTGTATTTTGCACTTGTATTTAATTACAAATTGAGTAATGTATTTGACGTGTGTATTTAAATACTAAAACGTGGGTATTTCAAATACAATTGTAATTAAATACAATTTTGTGGGTGAAAATACATCCCTCAAATTTATTGTCACTGTCCCGAGCAGGAAGAAAACTACGTTCTGCACCGAATGCAGTGTCTCTCAATAAAGCACAAGCGTTTAGTGACTTTGTGATTACGGTGCTAGTCCAGGGCAAGAATAGTGACGAAATCGACGTTCACAGGCAGACTGGCTAAATAAGTGCCTGTGACAACTTGTGTTGCTTTCCAGCCTGATTTCCATCCATAAGTGCCTGGAACATTCTAAATGCGCGGGTCGTCCAGATTTTTGTAACTGGTGCGAGTCCCAACAATAAAAAATTCTCTGGCTAGTGCTGCGCGTCTTGGTCGTCTCGGTTCTTTGTTGGTCTATTCGCGACTCCAGCAAAACGGACGCCGCCAAGCGGAAAAACCGGGAACCAGCCGGTCCAGGTCGCTCCGCGCCCCTCCGCGTCTCTGGTGGCTTTCGCGGAGACGTGTTGTCGGCGTGGTGGCGAACAATGTAATTTGACGAAGGTCCGAATATTAAGTTTGTGTGAGTGATCATTAGTGTGGTGAAGCCTGAGTAGATTGTTTTCTTCTATTACGTGTTTGAAAGCCCGTTTACTCCACAGCACACGGTCGCGTGCTTTCGATTTCTTGGATGGGGAGGAATCACGGAAAAACTTTTTGATTTCTTGTCTGTCTCGAATATCATTCAAAGTGACGACTGCTTGGTAACTGATACTGGAGGGAACATCAATGTTGCAGTCAAGTGAATGGGAAGGTTCGATAGCTGCTTTTCTTGAGTTTGGTTGTGTTCGGTTAGCTTCAAGTTTGAGCCACCCACGCCGGTCGGTGCGTTGGCTATTCATCTTGGCTGCTTTTCGCCGAAAAAGCCTCTGGACCACACTGAAGGAGTTGGGCTTATTTCGTAATTACTTGATTCAAGAAAACTTGCTCATTGCAAATGATGAATGAGGGAAATTATCTGTCTTCAAAAGGTGGGAGACAAGTCTCGCAACGTTAGATGCTGTCACGGCATTTTGACCTATCGCGCCTCCAATATTTATATTACGAAGACGTCGAAGCCAGCAGCAATATACGTCTACATTGGTCAGGTTGACCGGCCACAAAAAAATACAAATTTTCTCCGGTCAATGCAGAGAGGTTCTGCGCGGATCTTCACTCTTCAGCTTGTCCCCGTGCTGCCGGCTATAGAACCATTTGGCTAAGTTTAAGTAGTATGTCTCCGTCTGTCAAATATCTTTTTATTCAGCAGCTCACCTAATTGCTAGTCAACTAAGCTCATATTTCAACCCGAAGGATATACTAATATCGCTTTAGTGGGATCCCCCCCCCCCCTAGTACGTAATATAATACATAACCCGCTCGTCAAAATGACTTCTCGATTGCTACTAAAACCTGAATTGAAATACGAGTATCAGCTGCTTAGTGGGGCACCGGCGGGTTAACATGGTCCTTGGCTCAAGAAGCGGTTGCTTAATTTTCGTAATTTTGCTGCAGCCTGTGTTGTTGGCCGAGCAGACGACTGGAGCTGTTTCGTAAACGCGGATACGCACAAAAGCTCGATTTCGCGGACAGATAAGTCGCATGGTCGAGGCATGCGAGTTAGCTGAAAAGTTACTCTCTGTGGAACAATTCTATAGTCATCGCCGCTTTCCTTAGATGATCAAAACTGATTAGTATATTACCGTCTCTCCGGAGCCCATAGTTTCGGTTTTGAACGAAATCTCCGAAACGAAAGTTTAACACGAAAAGAACAAAAAAAAAAAAAAAAAAAAAAACACCGGCAAAACAAAACTATGCTTTGCAAGTTTATCTGCACCGGCTACACTTAACCGTCTCAGTTCAAATACCTATAAAATTGGGCATTAAACAAAAGAAAATCTGTTAAATTGAACGCGCCACCTGTTCAGGTGGCCCGGCCGAGCCACCGCGACCTGGACTCAGCCGCCATCTTTGTTTGGTGGGGGCGCCCCCTATAGGTCGCTGGAGTCGCGAATACCTAAATGTAATCGACAAAAAAAGCTGCTTGAAGCTCTGTACTTCTTTCACGTATTACGTCCAAGCTGATTACATTTTTTTGTGATTTTATTTCTATTACTTCACTAGAGCCTCGCACACTAACTCCCGAATGTGCGATGCAAAATTAAAATGAGATACCCAGAAACCCGTTGCAGGTGCTCTGAGTCGCTGACGCAAATTTTGAGGAATGTATTTGGAAAAGTATTTGGAGGAGACCAAATACATTTGGTTGTATTTGTATCTTGTATTTAAATGCTTTTTTTAGAATGTAATTAGATTTGTAATTAAATACATTTTTGACGAAGTATTTTGTATTTGTATTTCGATACATATTTGCATGTATTTTGCCCATCCCTGCTCAAAATTAACTTTTGTAGTGTTTGTGTCTCCTGACCTTTTCTGTAGAACTAAGATGCATTAAAATATTTTTTTATCGATCTTCAGCATGGGCTTCTGGGTCATCGCACCACAGGTTCGAGCAGCTGTGGGCATTCCCTGTGACCCAAGTGGCGTGTTTTGTCTCGTTGCAGAACGACTGCGTGGAGAGCTTCGTGTTTGCAGTGGACGGGCGGCTGCGCCAGCGACACGAGCTGGAACGGCTCAAGTCGATCATCAGCCGGATAGAGAGCTACGACCCGTTCGACATCAACAACGACGAGGTCGAAAAGGTAGCCACGTCGGCCCTAGGCAGACTCCTATCCGCAGTACTCTAGTCCATTTCGATGCCCGATACAGTAATGTTTATGTCGCGAGACGCATTGTGATTTAGGAGCAACTTCAAAACCTGTTTTGTGTTCCGAACATCAATCCTGTAAAAGAAGCGTGCTTTGGGATTGCTCAGACGAGTCTTGCGACATCAATATTGCACTCAACATTTTTTAGTTTCTTTTAAAAAAATTCTTATTCTTTGTGTTAATAGGCATTTTAAAAAATTGTTTTTTTTTTAGCAGTTCAGTGTTTCTTTAACCCCTTACCCGTCTTTAGTTTGGGGAGATTTTTGACCCTCAACTGCTTAATTGCTGTCTTCAAAACTACATTTGTTGCCTTCAAGGTCAAGTTTCTAGCCCCAAACAGAATGGGAAAAATTAAAAAATAAAAATTCAGCACTGTCATCTGCTGGCAGAGCCTGAAACTAAGCCACGAGTCAGCCTAATTCGTCCAAAACGGTTGAGTGCGAGAGCGGGAAAAAGGCAGACGAGCTATACCCGTCCTGAACGGTTTGGGGAGGGTTTCGTATTGGCGAGCCCTCCCTAAGCCGTTTTGACGTTTTGGATGAGGCGTTAGCCTTATCCAAATTGGTTGAGCGGTCAAAGCCCAACAAGCAGCCAAAAGTGAGGAAACCACTCCTCAATTTCTCTTCTCCCTCCAAGAAAGTAAGAAGCCCCCTTTCTTAAGTAGCTCGGAGACCTGCTCCTTAAGGGGAGAGGAGAAGAGAAAAGCACAAGAGGGGATAGAAACGACACTGAGAAAGCGTTTTTTAGCCTGGTGGAAGACGGTCCTGCAAATTGGCTTTTAAGCAACAGACTTCTGTTTTTCCCACTTGATTGTTAACTACAAGTTTCGGCAATGCTGCCGTGTCAAGAGGGGCTTTTTTGCAAGCTGAATTCAGCAGCTAATTGGGGCAGACGCATTTGGGTTGGCTGGAGTGGCAGTTCTCCTTTGTGCCCCGTGGAGGGGTTCCTCCCTTTGGAGTGCACATTGAGTGAGGAAGCCGGTGTCCCCGTGTCCCCAGGCCCTTCGTCCCCACTGCGAGCTGGACCTGACGTGCCCGATGCCCGGCTGCGGCCACCAGCAGAGTCGGCAGTTGCTCTACGAGGCCTCGGGCATCAAGATGAGGGACTCCATGAGCTCCAGCAAGGTGGGTCTGTGGGGACGCCCCCGGAGGAACTCTCGGAAATTGGGCATACTTGGCTTATTTCAGCGTCTTTTGCCGACCAGGTACTGTAGTGTTTGGTGCCGTTCTGGCATCTATCTGTTGCCCTTGTCCGACGCACGGTCACGATTCGTGCACGGACATTTCTGTACCAATCGATACGATGGTATGGGCACGGTTTTTGTACTGTGCAGTTCTGCTGTAACAATATTGAGGAAACGGTGAAGTCCAGTTGTTTTAGTCAAGTATCATTGCGTCTGGACTCGCCTTCGGAAGTGCCCGAAATAATAGGATATGCAACAAAGACAGCATCACTCGTACTATTTGGCCATTTTGGCTGCTTAACTCTAACCCAGAATATGTAAAATCAAAATTTTATAAGAAAAGCGTTATGCTTGAATGTAACGAAAAACCGTTGCATGTCAGCCAATGCAACGCAGCCTATATATCACATTGCGGGCAATGCAAAGGGATTCAAAGGATTTAAAATGCTTACTTTATCATAATTACTCGTAATTAATAATTGTTAACAATTAGTACTGTATTTGCACGATCCTAACGGCAGATATGTTTAACTTCTGGATATTTGAAAGATAACTTTGTGCCGATTCTGCTACTCGGACAAAAATTAATGAAGGCTGAGCAACGCATACCTCCCAGAACGCCTTTAATAGAACGTACACTCACAGAAAAGCAACCGAATAGGACGCACCAGTCATTGTTGGTGTTCGACTGGAGTTCCTCGGTGCTGTCCGTGGACCACAGACAGTTGGCCCCCTGTGGGAGCTCCTTCCAGGCACCATGAACCCACTTCGCTAGGTCGTCAAGCGCTGCTTTCTTCAGACACTGTGCCAAAGTTGCAGAGCATGCTCACCGTCAACAAGCCGCTCGTTGTAAACTGTGCACACGTGATGCTTCGTTGGGTCATTAAAGCTGACATTGAGCGGCCAGAGTCGGGATGTCATTCCGCCCAAAACGATTGCGAGGTCGGCGTGGCAGGCCACAAACTCCTCCTTCACGCGCCGGTTGATGCGGCATCGAAACAAGTCGAGCGCCGGCACGAAACGGACGCCGAGGCTAGCTCCGGGCCTCTTCCTTCGCAGGGAACCGATCTGGTCGACTGTGAGCTCGGTGCCCATCCACGCTTTAGGGTGCACTTGTGCAGCTACATTGTTGAAGTGTGTCACTTTCGCCAGCGAGGTCTTTTTCTCGAAGGTGAGGACGAGGTCTGACTCGCATACGTCGGCCATGCGGCACGGCATTGCCGTCAGCCCGTTTTATTTGTTGTCAGAAGAGAGAGTGCTTGTTAGCTTGGCACTTTCGCCTCCTCCGTGTAGTTGGAGGGCAAGTCAAAAAAACTTTGGCGTGTGGCCGGCATTCCCAATCTCTGCCCGACGATGTAGCCGTTCGAGCGGCAGAGTGCGACAACAAACTGCTCTACCAGCTTCTCTTCTTAAGCCTCTGGGAGCTTCTCACAGATGCTTGTCCTTCTCCCAAGCAAAATATCCATTCCGCTTCATAAACTTAATGATCCAGTTCCTGCTGACTTTGAAGCGAATTCAAGGGATCTCTGAGCTGCGAGCCGGCCGAAGGGATTTCGCTTCGACGATGTCCGAGGAGACAGGTTGCTGACTCGGTCGCAGCCCCTTGACGTAAGACGAAGGTGAGCTCTCTTGTACCAGAAAGCTCCCTTGTGGGGGGCCATTGAGCCCCTGCCTCTTAGCCTTGCAGTCAAATGTGCACCCCTTTTGACTCCTTCGGCCGTGCACGCATGTCTCCCAGATTCCCAAGGATTGGGACACTGCACGATTCCCTTTGCTCTTTACCAGCACGATCGCCTTTCGTTTGAACGATGTTTTGTAATGAAATTGCTTCTGCTTTTTCCATTTTTTGACTGCGGCTCGAGTATGATGAAGGGATTTCGTTGTCACACGGATGTCGAAATGCCAACTGTCTAAACGAAAAAACACGTGACGACATGAGGAGTGGATTGGATTGGACACAAGCAAAAGCGCAACATGTCCACGGCGACGAGGCTACCCATCTAACACAAAAAGTCTTTCGCAATTTTGTTTTTTGTTTGTTTTGGTTTTAGCACGCATGTAATTTTAAAAGAATATTTTTCGTAAAAAAAAATGGGTCGAAATCGATGCTGCCGTTACACCGATTGTTGAAGAAATGCGTGAGGCATTTCGCGCAATAGTTATAACAAAGCATGGCTGAATGCAGCCTCTCAGCACTTCTCCGCGGGGTGAACATTCCCAAAACCCCTCTTCTCCCTGGTGCAGGCAGATTAGGTCACTTAGCGCTTGCACGAAGTGCATGCGTGCGATGTGCGAAAATTGACAGAGCCATTTCGCTGTTGTGCATACAGGAGTGACGTTCTTGACGCGCAGTCGAGACGACTGCGCGTCAAGAACGGCGTGGCAGGCCGATGAACGGAACCGCAGCCCATGTGCATTTACAGGTCTCCAAAGCCGGCGGCAGGAGCTTTCAGGTCATCCAAAGCGCGTACCCGCATGCCGGCTGCGTGACGTAAATGGGGGCGTTGGTACGCGTCCAAGCGATATGCCTGCCGTCCACCACTACGCCGGTGATCTTCGGTTGCTAGGACTGTGGTGCCATCCCGTGGCGATGTTGCAAACTCTATAAACGTGTGCTCCGACGATGTCGAAGGTCGGCGCATGCACCGGGCGCCAATGTTTAAAGTGCGCGTTGGAATTGTGCAAATATGGTAATTGTAGTGGACAACATCTACCAAGTGGTGCAGTGGGAATCGACCTTGGGGCTGTGCATTCCTCGTCCTGACTTCCTTTGCTCAGTGCCACGAGGAGGAGCGAAAGGGACCGCAAGCAGCTTAACTAAGTGTGACCCGTGGGAGCCCGTGATAGCAGGCGATCGTCAGTGTGCAGATGTGGCTCCCGAATGATGAAGCACAGCTCCCCAGATGATCTCGCGTCGTCGTGGATACCGAGTAAATTTAAACTTGTCTCGATCATTCCGCTAAACCAGATGAGGTGTGTGCACAATGAATCCGAAGCTACCCAAAGCTCTCCGTAACGAAGCGTAACAAATCACACGGCACGAGTAATGCACACATGGCACATTCTGTGCTCGTCGCGTTTATCAGAACGATAGTCTAGTTGACTCTTTCGGAATACAGCTGCAGTGAGGATTAGACGTTGGATCGTTTTATTTGGGATTCAACCGTAACATTGCATTTCACAGGCCTGAAACATTAACAGGTGCTTGTCGGTGAGCGGTAGTTATAGTTTTACCGACTGTGTCGAGCTGGGGCATATGTACTTTATGTATGCTGCAAGCCATAATAAATGCGGAAGAGAAGAAAATATGAGAAAAAAAAACAACCAAGCTGTAGCACAAAACTTATGTGTTCTGCGGGCTATGCGACGCTTAATTCCTGCATTTTATCACTGCGTGCAACCCCTTCTTCGAATGGCATAGCTGCCACAAAAGTTAATTTGCCGACAGATCAAAAAACGGTGGTATCCGCTGGAGAGCTTGAACTTACGCGAGTGAAGGTGGCACGTACGGGGCATATTTTGTACATTCACAACGTTTTAAATTCATAAAACGCCTTGATATAGCCACAGTCATTTCTACTTTTTATTCTTTATTGTTTTACTTAAATACCGATTTCACTCATTAAGTCTGAAACATTTTCAGCACATCCGTTTCATTTGAGAGGGCAGCTCATCCGTTTAGCTTCCGTTTCATTTGAGAGCGCAGCTCATTCGCTGCACTGAGATGTCATGGTATGCCATGTGCCAAGTGTACTAGTGGGTGACAGGACGAGAATTCAGCGGCAAATGCACCTCAAAGGGATTTATATTACACCGCCAGCCAATTGCTTCCACTCATTCCTTGACATCACTGATGTCACGGCTTGACGAATTATCGTTTTCATCACGGCACGAGCTGTTTTCTTTGTCGGCTCTGTCAATGGACACTGGCTTTTCGAAGTGACCAGAGTTTACGTCGCAGACCTGTGCCTGCATCCGCTTTTGTGCATAGTAGTTTCTGTGTTACGATGTGAGGATTCAACGGTCGTGTTGCCGTCTAACTTACCGTGAAATCTCGAGAGATAGCCCACATGACATCAAGACCAAATCAGCTGAAAGTATATAGTTGGCTAACTTTCGATGTACAACAAAAAAATTTTTTAAAAATTGCTATTTTTACGTTGTGGCGTTTCCAAGCTTGTTATGGTGGCGAGGGGCAATGAAGCAAAGATGACTTTACTTCCCAGTCAGCAACGTTCGCTTATATCCCGCCAAAGTGAACTAGCCGCATTTATGTCGAGGCCATCATTGATCCCAACACTACTATTACTTGAAGTAAGCTATCTTTCGGTGTTTAAAAAAAGAATATAGCAAATCAAGCCAAAAATAAGGGGTGGGCTATCTTTCATGGCTGGGGCATCTTCCAGGATTTTAAGTAGTTGCCGTCGACATGGTCAGGCTCAGACGATCGCATAAGCCTCGCTCGACGAGACCGACGGAAGCAGCGCCAGTGGCTCCTCTTCATACGTGTAGTTTTTGCACCTGAGGCAAGCCACAAAGCAAAAGATGTGACGATGCGAGCGTTTCTTTGTGGTAGTTTTAACGCGAAATGTGTTGTATGGCTGGCACCTAACCATATTCGGCTAGGAACCAGCAACAAAAGTTGACACAGGCCCTTGCACGACACAAGGCCGCTTCGCGCCATCCAGTATCCATATATGTGCATAGCTTCTTCATGCTAACACATCACATTTTGTGTTACCACTGCTTTTATCGTGGTAGTACAACAAATGGGCGACTTTTTTGTGTGACAATGTGAGAATTCAATAGTAATGTAGTCGACGTCGAAGCACTCTTTGTCTTTTTTTGAATAATTGCGTAAGCTTCGCCCATTGAGTCTGGCGCAAGCTTATTCCACGCCAATCTGTTCTCTTCATTCATTTAGTGTTTGCCCCTGGGACAAGGTTTGTCAAAGTCGTGGTGGTGTCAACGTTACTTCGTGATGGTGTGACAATGCTGCGGTGCAGTCATCACTTTAGATGCGGTGCGCCACTTGAAATGCTAGAGCTACTCCATTGCCGAGCTGCCTCACCGAACTTTGTCCACTTCCCTGCTCGTCATTAATAAACGAAAGATGTCAACGGATATCACGCCTTCCAAGCGGTATTTATTTATCCGTGAAACTGCTGCCCTCACCCAGTCTTGTTGCTATCGGTTGGATGGTAAATTGGGTAAGCGGCAATTGCCTTGTCCAACCATTGTCTCGCACGAAGGCGTCCTGCCGTTACCTCTGATGACATGGGGTAGCAAATGCTCCAGTACTTCGCCTCGTACAAAATATTGCAGGCACCTTTGCCATTTTGCGAGGATGTCATCCGGTTTGAAATGTAACAAGCTTCACTCTCTCGGCTCACACCTGAAACCGACGGTCACCGAGCAGACAATGCACCACTTTTTAATGGCAGAGGCACTTGCACCGGACACGTTAAGCTTGTTGGGCGGAGCATCCACTGACTTCTAAACCCGTTGTCGACTATACTTAATAAAATATAAAACGTTGCGTCGATCATTAAAAAATTGTCACTTTTCCTCACGGTAAGAAGAAAGCCGAGCTCTCGCCCGTGTCCAAACGGTCCCGACGAAGCGGGGCGCGCGCGTCCTTGCTCGACTGCGGAGCGTGGCCCTCGACTGCAGGTGGACGTGCACTGCTTCCTGTTCACGGACGTGCTGTTGGTGTGCAAGGCCTTGGGGCGGCGGGGGGACCGGGTGCGGGTGGTGCGGCCCCCGCTGGCTGTTGACCGCCTGCTGGCGCACGAGCTGAGGGACGGATCAGGCCTCCTCCTGGTCCAGCTGGGGGACCTGGGGCTGCTGGCCGCCTACTGCCTGCTCTACACCCCAGAGCCCAGGGCCCTGCTGGAGCACCTGCGCAGGGCACAGGTGGGGTTTCCAAAGCTCCCGACTTGCTCGCTGCACTCGTGTTGTGCCGTTGCCCGCTGCAATCTCGGTGGTGGTGCGGCAGTGGAGCCAAATGTGGCGGGCGCTTGTTCTGCCGTAGGCCGCCTTCCGGCTCGTCGGCCCGCGGAAGATTTGGCAGCCGGGGGTTTGGACGCTCGTGTTCACTCGTGTTTTTGGATGGAACTTTTAGGACCCGCCGGCAGGATTGCAAAACCACGACTTGTCGGCTCCTATGACGTCATTGGTTGCCGTTTCGGGACCACTTTCAATGCATGGGTGGGATAGGATAGCAAAGAGATACAGTCGAGCCCGGTTATATCACACCCGGGTATTTCGAATTATTGTTTATATCGAACAGTCCAAACATCCCCTTGAAAATTTAATGTAATTGTATAGGAGCGTTGTTTTTCGGTATCAAACTTCCATGGCGGGGACACTTGATATAGCGAACGAAGCACGGCCGCCCGTCGCTTCTCCTTTGGTCGGATTGCACCGGCGGCGAGCACACCGCTTGCATTGCGGGGCTGGCAGACCGCCAAGTCAGCATAAGCGCACGGGAATGCGTAGCAAAAGGAGCAGTTGTAAAAAAAAAAGATGACAAAAACAAAGGGAAGGGCACACGCACACGTAGGGAGGGCAGCGAGTGCCCGCTGTTGGAACGGTAGCTTGCACTCTTTCCCCGAACAGAGCTGAACTTCGGTATTAGCAGAGACGCATGGAAATTTCAACTGCAGCTTAAGTTAACATATTTTTGTATATCAAATTATCGATATGTTGAACTATTTTACGATTCTTTTTGAATTAGTATATCCGGGTTTGACTGTAACCATACTTTCCGGACTATGGTCTGCAGACTATACATGTTTAAGGGTTAAAATTTTACCCGACTATCTATGGGTGCGGACTACGCGAGGATTTGTTTTTTGTTTTTTATCAGTCACTTTGACAAGATGTGATGAATTTTATAAAAAAAGAGTATATTAACATTGATTTATGTATGATTCTTTGTGAGCCGATACAGCGAGCATTTGTCAGGGTGTGCTGTGCATGATAAATTTATTGTTCGGACTAGGCTCTAAGTGCCGACTTTGCACAGGGTACAAACTGCCTAAGCGAAGGCTTATGCCTGACCCAAAACTTTCCCCTGTGAACTGTCCAGGCAGGAGCGGACTGTAGTCCGGAAATTACGATAGTCAAAGACACTTTACAGACACCGTAGCGCTATTGTGTGGGGCAGCGGTTCGAATCTGTAGCGGCAGAAACTTTCTTTCCGAGATGGGGTCAAGTTTCCGCTCGGGCGTGTCGAAAACTCCGGTCTTGGAAGCATTTGGGGCGTTTGGCCGGGGCTGAGCCTGGGGACGTGCCCTCGCACCTCAGGAGCAGTACCGGGAGGCCCGTGCCCAGCTGTCCTGTCCTCAGCTGGGCTACCTGGGGGACCTGGGGGCAGACGAGGAGGACTACGACATCCCCCGGGGGGCCCTGCTGGCTGCCGGACGCTCCTCTTCGCCCCGCAGCTCCAGCCAGTCCAGCCTGGTCCACTCGCACAGCGGCTCTGTGGACATGAGCGACGCCGCCGGGCCGCCTGTGCCCTGCCCCACCCCGCTTTTCGTAAGTATGGGCGGGAGACAGCCGCCGCAGACAGGGCACGTCTGCATTGGAAGACTGCTCTTTGTTCAGTAGCATGACAAACGTGCTGGACTCTCCTGGCACGTTTGTACGTTTGTGCCGGGAAAGTCTAACACTCTTTAGAACAGGGGCTCTCAAACTTTTCAATCTAAAGAAATCCTTGCCCTGCCTCGAAAAGCAACGGAGGAACCTGCTGCAGTTTCGTCTCGATGCAATAAAGAAGACTACAAACGTGAAAAAAAATAGTGAAAATACTTGGGAGTGTTTGATGCGTAGTAATACTCCAGTGGCTCACTCTGATCTACCAAAATATTGCTTAAGCTGGGAAAACACTAAAATGGGGGCCTGGATGGTTGAGGTAATTTGGGGTTCTGGGGGTCCCTGTGGGCGCTCCGGGGAACCTCTAGCTTCGGAAATACCAATGGTCTACCAATTAAGGCTGGGAGTCTGGCAACCGGGGAAGGATATGTTCTATGGAGGTAGGAAGCTTCTGGAGCCAACACGAGGCCAGCAGAGGTAAAGCTCGAAGTCTGGAGGGACATGCCCCCAATGATGACCATAACCAAGATATGCCATTGGATGAAAAGGAGCGCTGACTTGGCGCCAAGTGCAGAGGCACGTGTCTCCCCACACTTCTGTCTTCACCTCTGGCTGCCACGTGTCACCTCCAGAGCCTTCCTACCTCCGTGCTCAGGAGCCTCGATACGCGACCCTGACGCATCCGTCGCCCCGGGGAACCGTAAGAGCAGACGTTGGGGCTCCCGCCCTCGCAGGGCCCCTCGGTGCCGACGGGGCGCGCCACCAGCTTCGAGCTGGGGGAGCTGCGCAACCCGAGCATGACGGTGGACGACGTGGACGAGCAGGGCCGGTCGCGCAGCATGGAGACGCGCGCCAGCCCCGTCTGCGTGCTGGTCACCTCCCCGCGCCCGGAGCGCCGGGCCTTCCTGCTCAAGGGGGCGTCCCCCAACACCCTCGCCGTCTGCTCGCACGACGAGGAGGCCCGGGAGCACCGCAGCTACCCAACTTCACCCGTCATTCAGGTGAGGTCACCCACCCACTCCCTGAGGTGCCCCAAGAGCCTGCGGAGGACTGCTTCCTTAAGGGCCGCTCGTGGGTCGGCGGCCATGAGCGACCTCGACGACGCATGTCACCTTTTGCAGTTGGGAGTGATACTCTCGCAAAAGGGTCGACCCATTTTCGCGTAAGATGGGGGCTGACAAAAATGTTTGTATCAAATGTGAATCAAGTTTATTTTATATTTGATTAACGTAATATTCAGAGACATGCCCCACCACTGAAAGATAGCCCTCCCCCTATTTTCGGGATGATACGCTATTTTTTAAAACGCCTTTTAGTAATTGCAAAGCCCTGGTCATTGTTGACCTCAACAAAAACAGTGTTACTTAACCACTGTGGGAGATAAGCGAACATTGCTGACTGGAAAGGCCAGTCTCCTTTGGTTCACTGCAACTTCCTGTGATCACAAGTTTCAGGGTTCACAAAATATAAAACTAGCATTTTTTACAGCAAAGCTGTTATGCGCCAGGATCTGGGAAAAAATGTGTCCGTGGGTGTTGACAGAAAACTCCCCATCGGTCGTGGCTAGTATGAATAAATAAAAATGAAAAGAGGGGGCAACCAGCGCGAGTCAGCCTTCCGTGGCATTACAGCATAGGCCACTTACAACGTAACCGCTTATAGTGCAGGACCAGGTATAATGTGGTTTTTTAAACCACCGGTTCGCCTCCCATAGAACTCCATGTAGTTACATACCGCTTAAAATGCAGGCGCGCAAAGGGAAATACCGGTTATAGTGCGGTTTCTGCAACTGGGACCGGCGCAGCGAGCACGCTTCTCTGTGCGACACTAGATAACGGCGCGAGCCAAAGCGGCTCTCGCGGGGCAAGGAGGTTGCTCAAAGAAGCGGGGAGAAGCGAAGGGAGAGGCTTCAGTTGCCATAGCGACGGAGGGACGCACGCACGTGTCGTTCACGTGCGTGCGTACCTCCGCTGCATTGGAAAGATTGGAAACAACCGCAACGACAGACCAATCGCAGGTCGAGGAGAAGTGTTCGCGCGCATTGCATGCCGGTCGCGGCCCGGCTGCTTCTATCCGCAAACATTGCGTCAGTTGTGGTCGTCGACGTAGACGGCATGGTGGAAGCTCATCGTTCCGCGTAAAAGCGCTACCCTTGACTGTGAATTTTCGTTATGTGTCGCTATGATAACCCAGCACGTACTAGAAGGGAAGATCCACCTACTCGTGCGGCGATGTCGTGGCGGCACTCTCAAGACGGCAGAAACGCCCGTGTCGTCGTGTTTGTTTACTTCGACTACAGTGGTGATTTCTAAGCGTTTGTGTTTTCGAACATCGCCCGGGTTTCTTATTTGAAGCAGTTCATGCCTGTGCTCAAGTTGAAGGTATTACTGGCGCGTACCGTATAAAGGATGCGAATTTTCACGCATTTTCATCGCTGGAGAAAAGTGATTAGGGTTAGCAAGCCTGAACGCTCGCAACGTCCGTCCGCAACCCACGACGCCGTTAAAAGGCTGCGCCAGGCAAAATTCGCTTATTTCTTTCAAAATGTGTGACACACTTGAGAGAGAAGTGCAGGGGTGGAAGCGCTGCGCCAATTGCGCCACCCTGCGCCAATTCACTTCCCTGCGCCAGCCTGCTCCTAAACGCCAATTTCAACTTCTTTTTTTTTTTTTTTTTAGTGTTTTCTTTAAATTTTGCGGAAAACGGTTGGCCACGGGCCACCATGAGGTGTGTACTTTTGCTTAGGTGTCACTGCGGGTGACTCGTACCAACTCGACTGGGGCTCCGAACCATGTCTAACCTCAGGACGAGGCGCTGATTTTAGTTCATTGAGAGTGCGATGTCGCTTTTACTACAAAGAGTTTATATACGAAAACATCGGTTTGGTTTCGGGCATAGTTGGTTGGCGCGGTTGGAGCGCGCATGCAGTTGCCCGTGGTCCCGATTTGCCGTGATCGTGGGAGTTGGTGCCTCGGCACCGGTGGGCTACCTTGGCCATTAACATGAGCAGTAGTAAGTGGTCTTTACTAGCTTTACCTGTTATTTGGTAGCCTACCATATTTGGACGCTTAGCCGTGAAGAATCGCGAGCACAGGCACATGCGTTCTCGAGCTCAGTTTGTCTTGTCAAAACGAAACCAAAACCATCATTGTGTGCGCGAATGTGCACGCTGTCGTGTGTTGTCTACCGCCGTCAAACCACTGGCGAAAACAATACCCGCGATCTTAAGCGAGTTGGTTAATTGGCAGTGCTACACACTTTTTTGTTTCTTTCCTTTAGCGTGGAGGAGTGGGGGTTACGTCAGAAATGCCGTACAACACTCCCGCGCTGCCGATTCCTGTCAAGAACGCACCTTAATTTGCTATAGCTACTCTACTCGTATAAGTTTCTGGTTGGGGGGGGGGGGGGGGGGGTTGGGTAGGGTAGGGTAGAGAGAAGTTGGTGGGCTTTTTGTCACGTAAGAAGGGAGCCTGCCCCGCAGGGATCAGCGCCTGATCAGCTACATCTCATTTTCAGTCTCGTTCAAACTGTCTTCTCTTAAAGCACTTCTACTGAGTGCACAAGAACTCATAAGCAAGGGTGAGGCAGTTAAGGACATGGACAAGGTGGGGAGTGGAGACCTCCTGCTAAGAGATGTGAACTCTAAACTGCCCAAAGTACTCGAGCGCATAAAAGAAATTGACTCTGCTCTTCAAACTGTGAAAAAAAAAAGGTGAACTTCAGTTGTATCTAAATTACACAGATTCAGCTTAGTCACAACCCTTTTTTTTTGAACATGGAGCCTGTGGGCTCTTCTAGTCAGTGTTTATGCTGCAAATGTATTAGTGGCTGTGATATTTTTAAGACAATATATTTTTCCATCCAAAGTAATTAGATATAGCTTTGTATGTTAACTTGGGTGTAGGGATTACTGTATTTTATGAACAGGGATTAAGAACATTTGTATTTAATGAAAACAGGTCAGCAAGGACTGCTTTATTCTGAAACATGTTGTGGTACCTTAGTTTTTTTTATGGAGACACGCAATGCACAGCATTTTATGGAGTACATAAGGTTGCGTTGCTCTTCTAGTCGATGCTTAAAGCTGCATATGTACGAGTGACTGTGGTAGTCTAAAGATATAAAATACACATTTTATTTTGCATCTGAATTTTTGTCAAATGTCAGTAGCCTTGTATTTTGTTACTAAACTTGATATAGGGCTTTTTAAGTAGTGATTGAACATGTGTATTCTTTATTAAACAAAAACTGTAGTCAGCGAAGGTAGTTTATCTGACACCTTGCAGTGGTTTAGTTTTCTGGATACATGTTTACAATTGGTCTATTAAGTAGACGGTTTTGTACTGGCGTGGCTCAAGTTAGGCTTTTATTGTCGGGGCCTCCCATATAAAGTCTATCATGACTCTGCCTGCTGCCGGAATGGTTCTCAAAGCCTTTCCTTTGCATAAATTGCCAATATTCCATATTTCAATGCAATAGAAATAGAAAAATGTGTATGTATGTTGCTTGAAAATTATTCTGGGATGTGCATGCATATATTTTTGCTACATTTTCACATTTAGAAACAACAAATCACTTTTAGACATTTGTTTGACCTCCGTGACCTGCTGCAAAACCTACTTCTACGGCTACAAAACTTATTTTTGCTGTTCCCGAGCTGCTCTAAAGCGAGCGTTTTACTGCTCCAAAACTGCTCCAAAGTGGGACTTTTGCTGCTCCCAGCCCTGATACAAAAGGCTCTAGCCCGCTTCCACCCCTGGAAGTGTACTAGTCTGGTGAAATAAAAACTTTCCTCAAACAGCTTTATTGTTCATCTTACATAGAATAAATTGTTTTACAAAGGTAAGTTGTCTCATGGCATGTATTTTGGCCTGAAAAATTTATGTTTCGGTTATAGCGTGGTACCGCTTATAGTGCGGATTTTCGCGACTCCCGCGACATACGTTATATGGGGTCTACACTGTAGTGAGGTCCTGATCCCTTGTTATCATCTCTAGGCATCGTCCTCGAGGTCGTCCTAGACGTTTTCCTCGAACTCGTCTTAGACATTGCCCTCGAAGTCGTCCTCGAGGTCGTCCTAGAAGTCGTTTGAGAGTTTGTGCAAGAGGTCGTCCGAGGCATCGTTTTCTAGGCATTGTCCTCGAGGTCGTCCTTCAGGTCGTCTTAGATGTTGTCCTCGAGGTCGTCAACTCTTCGTCCTTGAGGTTGTCCTAGAAGTCATCTTTGACATTGTCCTAGACATCCTCCTCTATTCATTGTCCTAGGCATCGCAAAAAATAACAGCTTCGCTGGTCCTCCATCTTCACGTGAAGTGGAAGGGCTCTACAAATGTTTTCTCAGCTTTTTTATGTCACATTGGAAGTTAGGCCACCCTTTATTTTCATCCAATTTGCTATCGATTTTAGGTGGGCTATTTCTCGGGATATTACGGTAGTATTCAATTAGCTGCAAATTTCTTGTCTGGCGCTTTCCAAATTTTTGGCTGCAGTTGAGCATTCAAAAAGCTGATTCTTAAGTACAGTCAAACAAACTTATAACGATCCCCCGTATAACAACCTATCGGTTATAACGACCAGCTTTCAGAAAATACAGTCGACTCCCGATAATCCAATGTTGCTTAATTGGAAGTGAAGTGAGGGCCCCACCAGTTCTGCATGCAATCCCGTGGAAAAAAATGCTCGGTAATTAGAAGCAAAAAGTCTAAAATATTGGATAATTAGAAGTTGATTTTCAATCGAAAGCCTCGAGGCAACCGTAATATTTGATTAACTTGCGAGTTTTAAAGTGCAAAAACAGCTTTGTGTACCGCATTGGTATTGTCGGCATCGCAGCCGACCACAGCGCCATAACTCATGAAGCGGCGAGATTGAACAGTCAAGACCGGCGCAAGCCGTACGTTGGCACAATAGCATGGCATCGTTTTTGTCCCTTCCCACGTCTTTCCTCGAGTTGGTTCGGGAATCGGAAGTGCGCTGGGCTCGTTCCACCGGTGGTTCCACGG